TGTTTTAATTTTGAATACTGGAATAAACATAATTACATAGTAATACATGAAAAAATAACAAAAAGAAATTTTTTCATAAGTAGCTGCATGACATTATCATGCTAAACCAGGAATGGATGAGTATATAGAGTGTTTTATATTAAAAGGGCCTATTTTGCAATATAAAAATTTTTTAGATAATGGAGTTTAATCATTTGGTTTAATTTTCAGACTGATCCGGGATTAAGCAAATTTCATAATTTTGATTGGTTAAAAGTAATAAGCAACTATCAGGTAACATCGTGATAAGCTTGATCTTAGACAGCCTTGTGTAATTTTTCTTTTACATTATCTCTATTTTTTATTATACAAATCGTCTTTCATTTATAATTGAAAAATATTAGCTAAATCAAAATTTACATAAATCTAATAAAAACTTATTTTTCAAAAAATTTGCAAAATAGGCCTTTTTAATGTGAAACACCCTATATTCTTAGGGTATTCACAAGTAATTCCCTCAATATGATCTGATAGTAATTGAGATGATGCTCAATTATTATAATTAGTCGTTATAATAATTGAAATCATTGTTTGAGCAAGCTATTTTGCTTTACTCTATTATCACTATGTTTTAGCAAAACTGTAACAAAAAAAAAGGTGACTATTCAATAAACAAATGCAACTTTAGCAACTCCAAGTGCCCTTTACAGACTTTATGAATATTTGTATATTGTTTATAGCAACAATATTCAAAGCGAACAAAACCAATACTGAAAATATGAAGTATTTGAATATTTAAGAAATAACAATTGGTAGCAAGTTTTTTGACTTTGAGTTTCTGGAATTTTTATTATCAACAAGTGTTTCAAACATAAAAAACAACACAATAATTTTTTTAATGATTATAATTTAGCTAAAGATCAATGATGTAAAGCAAAGTGCTTGAGCAACCTCTTTTTTTATTTTATTAATAAGCAGTGTTGGCCAATCAGCATTAACTCTATGAAAAAAGATGGTCTGTGTCTCCAGACTTTTTTCAGTGAAGCAGCAATTCACTTGATCAATTTTTTCAGCCCCAACTATTTGAAATTTTATTCCCAATCATTTGATTTAGACACTTGAGAACACCTTTAATTTAGAAAATATTAGATTACTCCAATATAGAGTAGCTATATATTGATTTTAAATCATATAATGTATACAACTAAATACAGCATAACTATATTGATATGAGGCACTATAATTTAAACAAACAAGAAATTTACAATATTTTAGATGTATATAATATAGAGTGTAAAATACCTCTTTAAAAACTGTAATATACCAATCACTATAATTTTCTAATGCTAACTCTAATAATATACAATGCCAAAATAGATATTAAATGTAGGGTATTTCACACCCTATACCGTACAGATCTGGTCATACTAATCTGCATAATTAAAAATGTTCTTGGCATATGATAATTATACAAACTAATGTGAATAAAAAGCTAAATGAGAGTTAAGCAGCCCATATTAAATACTTGGATCAATTAAAAAAATAAATAATCACTAAACTTGAGACTAATGGTGCTCTCAATGTGGTTAGCTAGCTACTGAAATCGTGCATATGTACTATGATTAAAGCATTCCTTACAGTAATTTTGCTAAAGATTTATATCACAAAATGTGGATAGCCAACCTGAACAAAATAAAGGTGGGTTCGAACTTTTTTTTTCATCAAGATAATAAACCCACTTACTGGTTAAACTACTTTCTACAAATTAGAAATTGAGCTTTGATCTATTAATTATGTGCTTGAGAGAATTTTAAATCAATACAAATAAAATTTAAACAAGAAATTAATTAATATAAAGAAGATAGGGGTATAGTGGATAGGTTAAAGTTTCTATTAATAAAACTTTATAATTAACTAATAGATTTTTATATAAGTTTTATTTTTTTTAACTATGCTTAATAAAGAATAAATTACTGCAAAAAATTCTTTATATCATATGTAGTTTTAGAATAAATAATTAGTACACAATCAGAATATAAAAAACCAAATTTTAGAGAAAAGGAGTATTGTGGACACAGTGAATAATTTTTGATCTACTGATCCGTTTTGGATGATTTTACTACCAAAATGACCGTCTCAGTGAGACGATTCTAACAAGTACAAAATTATTAAAATCTAATCACAGGATCCTGAGATTGTTAAAGGTTTATTATGCAAAAATTTGCAGATTTACTAATTTACAAAAATTTATGTTTTGCATAAATAATGATATCTTATGATCCAGTGATCAAAATTGGATAAATTTTATACTGTTCGATTCGTCTCTCTGAGACGATTCGAATGGTATAAATTTCATCCAATTTCGATCACTAGATCGTAAAATACCCTCCCTGTCCACAATACCCCCGCCTCCCTTATAGGATGCATTTGCATCCAAATTCAAATTTTATTTAATACACGTATAAAGCTTCAAATTTGAATTTTTTATGCCACTAATAAAAGGTATTTTTTACGTCCACTCTAAGTTTTTGGAAGTTTTTTTGCTCGTTCAAAATCTTTAATGCCATCTACCATTTTTTGAATATGTTTAAAGTTCGATTCAGTACTTCGAACCATGTTTTTTGTTTGGAAAGATTATTAGACTTTTCAAGACAATCAAGCGCCTAAAAGCATCAAATTAATAAATAAATATAATGAAAAAAATTTTTTTTTATAACTCGTGAAGAGTTGTTTTTGTACTGTCTTAAAATTTCAGATTCGGATTCTCTATCTTCAGTACCCGATTCTTTCATCTGGTTTTCTGAATTTACCAGATCGATCGTTAAATTGACTTATGTGTAATTGATTAAGGTTGATATTTCCATAAAGTTTCTTTAGCTTCCGTAATGAGGAATTGCATTGCATCTAAATTAGATTTAAACCATAATATAACGACAATGAACTTGCAAAAGCTTCATATGTTATTTACTTCTAACACATATTTCGATGCTCGAAATTTTTGACCGATGATCGAATAATTATTCTTAGATTCCAGCTTCTTTAAAGCGTACAAATAAATTACTCATTTGGACTATGTTCATAAAAATATGTCCAAATTTCATTGCATCAACCAATCAAACGGACATTGTTTAACCGGTTGTTACCCTTAAAATAAACGGGATAATAATAACCCGGAGCAAATTTTTATACTAGACTAATCCAGTAATCCCTTCTACTCTACGCTGTTTACTGCAGTGTTGTTTAAGTGTTCTTTTTTTGAGTTTATACATATTCAACTTATTCAAAATTTATAATTTATAATGTTAGAAGATACAATTTCTGAAATATCTCAAGATGAACTTGATGCTGAAGCCCGTGTTCGTAACGAATTTCAAAATTTAACCAACAATCAAGCTTATGAACATGTACTTCGCTATCGCTTGATGGCACTCAAACGTGGTGTAACAATTTTGCAATCTGCATCAGATATCTTGGGCACTGACAACCGTGAACTCACGATTCCTTCATTACACGAAACTTTACAATCAGTCATTAATAACAATACTTCAACAACTGATGAATTCCATATGTTGGATGTGGGCGCTGGATCTGGTATGGTTTTCCCTTCAATAATCACATCATTTGCACCCTCAACATATAATCATTATTCATTATTTTATTTATAATAGGGGAAACTATTGATTGGTTTTTTGCAAAGAAACTTGAAGAAAACATCAGCATGGGAAAGAAAAAAAATATTATCCATATTATTGAGCCAAACCCGGATTTATTAAAAGCTTATCAACAAAAATTATTAGAATATAAACATCTTAATCAAGGAATTGTTTATCAAGGTTCTGTACAAAACTATTATATATATCACGAGAATGCTCTCGCACCACCAAAATTGCCAGCTTCGGTTGATTTCATAAATTGCATGCAAATGATATATTATTTGTAAGTACTAATAATATCTACACATTCATGCTCGATCATTAAACTTTGTTTCCTAAATTTATAAAATAAAATAATTCAATTTATGATTTGTTTTAGAATAGATATTACAAAACAAACAATTGATCCACGTAAAGATATTATAGATTTTATAACCTTCTTATACAGGTTATTGAGGCCAGGTGGCGCGATTTACATTACGTTTTCGGATACGAGATGTGGATTCTTTTCGATTGATTGCAAATTTTATGAGCAAATCATCGGAAATATGAATGTTCCACAAAGAATTTCTCAAATGAACAAAGTATTAAATGAACTTTTATTTGAAGGTAAAATTTTAGAAATTTTAGAATCACAAATCGTAGATAAAAATACTTGCCCAAAAATTTTTAGCAACAAGATCTCAAGTGGTTTCTATGCAAGATCATTGGCAGACCTCGCTGTAATATCTTTACTTGGAGGAGGAATATTAAGATCGAACGATGAAATGCTCGATTTTAGAAGGTTGGATTTTGCTATAAATGAATTAAAAACTGCGGCTGTTACACCCGTAGCTATTGGAGAAGAAAAACCATATGGGTTAACACGTTGCATCCGTGGCGAAGAAAATGTTTGGAGAAGTGAACGTCCTTTAATTATTAGTGTCATTAGAAAAGAACATATGGGTTAATCACGTATCATGTGTTTTTAGATCGGTTGATGCATGGGGTTTTGTATAGTGCTGCACTTATAATAATAAGTCATTTGATGTATTACAGACTACAAACTAAGGAAAGGCATCAATTGTTAAATTTTTTTTAAAAAAATCTTCTATCAAAAATTCGTCATTAATTAATAGAAAAGATTTAATAAAATTAGGGTTTTTCCATATTAAAAATGTTATTAGACAAATATATAGTGCAAAATAATTAAAATATTACAGTACTTAAGTTTAGGTTTGACAAATCTGTCCCAGATTTTCTATGTGTATACTAATGATGAAGCCTGATGAAAATTGATGAAGTCTGGCAAGATCTATGGTTTCGTCAGACGTTATTACCAAATACTATAAATGAATCAATTTTCATTAACCTTTTTTTTAGGGAATATTTAAGTAATAATCTCCCAAGGAGGCATACTTTTCGGATATTTTATTCAACGGCTTTATATGAATTTCGATGCATATGATAAATAGTTAATAGAATTAAACATTGCTCATCCTTGGGCCAGTAACTTACTAATTTCTGTTTATATATTCCTGCTAAAGGCAGCACTTGACATATATTATTCTAATTTACGTTTAAAAGGTAGTGAGTGATATGGAGTTTTTCATTTCTTTACTGAAGGACCACACACTCCGTTTGTATTGGAAGATCTGATATTAAGCTTTAAATTTATTCCATTTCCACCAAGAAATCCTGATAACTATTGTAGTAACATAAATGATTTATATAGTTCTATGTTAGTTTTGTATTGGAATGATAATGATTTCTATAATGATTTGCTGTAAGAAAATTCTACTACCGTACTTGCCGACTATTGTGATGAAATAGATTGAAATAGAGTCAGTAAGTTTGTATTGGAATAATCATTATTTCTATAGTGATTTGCTATAAAAATTCAGACTTACCGACTATGATAATATAAGTAATTTTGACAAGGTTATTTTAGTTTTATATTAGAACGATCGTGATTTTTATGATTATTTGCTGTAAAAGATTCTATTACCCATACATACCTGCAAACTAGAGTAGTTACATAAAGATTTAGATAGTTGTGTTAATTTTATATTGGAATAATCGTAATTTCTATAAAGTTTTCATGCAAAAAAAAACTATACTTATTGACTATAAATTATTTAGACAAATCATGTTAGTTTGTGATTTCTATGGTGATTGTAAATATTATTGTTATTCATACTTGCTAACTGTTAAGTTATATATGTAATTTAGATAGGTTATGTATCAGAATTATCATGATTTCTAAAATGATATACTGTAAAAGCTATATAGTAATCTGTTACTTACCTACTGTGGTGACATAAATGATTTAAAAAACAATTAGATTTCAACAAAGAAAAATTCTGTATCATAGTTTAAATTCAATTACGAATATATTACTATATCTCATGTGATCTTCTGCATCAAATATTACTGTTGGCCACTGTTTACAATAATGAGATCTTATTCATAAAACTCCATTTTTTAAATTGAGTAGTACTTGTCAGTACTGTGTCTTATTTAAAAACAGGCTAAGATATTATTTTTGGAGGATACTTGTAAGTAGTGGCTAACAGTAATAATTCAAATAAAAAATAAATCAGATAATATACAGAAATAAAAATATTTTTTCGTATAATCTAATACATTTCAATTATTTTATGGTAAAAAAAACTTTGTGATTTTAAAGCTAAAAACTCCTATTAGTTTTCACATTCTAACGATAAACTTGGATTTTGTGCAATTCACTATTTGATAACATAATTCCAAACTTTTACTTCTTTCATTTGCAACTCATCACACTTAATAATAATGAAAGAAATATTCAGAGTCAAAAAAATTGTCCAAAATAAAAAGTATAATGTAAAAAAAAAAAAGTTACCTTCACGAACACATTTCTGGGTTGGGACCATTTTAGGATTTTTTTTTGGTCGGTCTTGCTTTTTTTTCACAGAAGGTGTATTTTTTTTTTTTTTTTCTTTTCTTTTCTTTTTCATATCTAATTCCTTTTTTTTTGGTTGCCCAACAGCCTTACTCTTTATAGAGTTGCTAATTAACAGAGGTTTTGAGAATGCTGAAGTATTCAAAACAAGGTCATTATCAACATATAATGCATCTAAATACTTCTCAAGATACAATATAAAATCTGCATATTTATTAGGGTCCATTGCAATCTTACTTGCAATTTTCTCTAATAGTCAATGAATATGCATAAACCAGATCCGAGAGTCATCTTTACCACATAATTTATATAATATTAAAGTTCCTAGATCTTGTTTTGTGTATAAATTGACATATTCTTTTGCAAGCTCCAACTTGGGTGAGTCTTTTTGCCAGTATTTTGGAAAGTGGACAGGATCAAGTTAAGCAAAAAACAGGTGAACCACAGCTGCAAAGGAATGGCAGCAAACTATTCTAGCAAATTCGAGATTGTGGCAGTAACAAAAAAAGTATCTTACTATCATAGAAGACATGACATATAATGTCTGGCCTTTTATAATGTGACAGTTTAAACCAACGCACTCCATTGTTATCAGCTATTTCCTTATATGCATATGCATCTTTTTCACTCCATTTTGGTTTAAATTTCTTTCAGGCATATTTCATTAGGCAACTAGCAGCCTGGATTTGGAAAATCCAAAGGTATGAGGTACACAAGCTCCTAATATATTCTGCCTTCTTGTGATAGTAAAGTGCATATTTAAAGGCAGCCAAAAATTCTGTGAGCCTTGTTTTACAGTCTATGAAGCTTTTTAAAAGACTATTCATTGATTCCCCTCTTTGCATTAACAACATGTCAGCAAAAAAATAATCTTTTAAATATGCCAGGACCCACTATTCATGCCACCAACTAAGAACTCCCAGATATGACTATGCCTTAGCATACTTTTTATTTTCTATTATACAGTTCTATTGCTTTTTAAACTTGTTTTGGTCAATATAATGACTTAAACATTTTATAAGATCTGTGTGAAACATATTATACTTTGTTCCAAGCTTAGAGGTCATATTGAACCTTATATTCTTTATCATGTGCCAAATACAAAGACTATGCTTTGTACCATGCTTATTAATAAGGACAGAACAAATAGCATCAGCTATTGAGAGATCGTTATTAGTGAGAATAGTATAGAGTACGGTGCCAAATATATGAAGAAAAGCTTTGAAAAGCTATTCAAAACTCAAGGGCATTTCGTCACAAAGAAGCACACCAGTAGTGCAATAAGAAAGACTGTTATTGGTGACACCTGTAAACATCCCAAAAGGCATTGAAAAATAATTACTTTTATATCCCTTAAATTGTAATGCAGACAAATTTGACTACAAAGATTTTTACTAATTTTTTTAATATTTAAATTTTTTAATAAAATTTTGAATATTAATTTTAGCTATATACT